TAATAAAAAGTTAATTCAAATTATTCAGTAAGTTGGATGAATTATTAAAATTATAAATTACTAAAAGGGATTTATTCCTGACCATTAATTAGGAGGGTTTCCATTTGTTCGAACAATCAAATTCGAATTAGTTCATCAGTTTATTGAAATACATGTGTATCACAATGTCAGACGAAGAGATTTACGAAGATTTTAGTTTGAGAATACTTTTGAAAAGGGATTTCAACAAATGAGAGGTCAAATTAGAGACCTTAGTCTATAGATGTATGATAAAGTTTTACTTTTTTTTAATTAAAAACTTTTTTCATCGGTATAGGGTGATTTGAAAATCGGTAAAAATAAAAACATGCACTATGCAAAACTGCTCTTAACTCAGAAACGGCTGCACGGTTTGATTAAATATGGCACTCGGATCTCTTATAACTTTGGCTAACATTTGGAATATTTTTAAAGTTTTCGAAATTCAATTTTGGGCGTTTTAACGCCATGCGGGCTCACTAGTTGTTAATATCTGAAAAGTGGGGAACCACAGCTTTGCATGTTTTTGGAGCGCATATTAATTATTATTTTTATTTTTTTTNAGGAGGGTTTCCATTTGTTCGAACAATCAAATTCGAATTAGTTCATCAGTTTATTGAAATACATGTGTATCACAATGTCAGACGAAGAGATTTACGAAGATTTTAGTTTGAGAATACTTTTGAAAAGGGATTTCAACAAATGAGAGGTCAAATTAGAGACCTTAGTCTATAGATGTATGATAAAGTTTTACTTTTTTTTAATTAAAAACTTTTTTCATCGGTATAGGGTGATTTGAAAATCGGTAAAAATAAAAACATGCACTATGCAAAACTGCTCTTAACTCAGAAACGGCTGCACGGTTTGATTAAATATGGCACTCGGATCTCTTATAACTTTGGCTAACATTTGGAATATTTTTAAAGTTTTCGAAATTCAATTTTGGGCGTTTTAACGCCATGCGGGCTCACTAGTTGTTAATATCTGAAAAGTGGGGAACCACAGCTTTGCATGTTTTTGGAGCGCATATTAATTATTATTTTTATTTTTTTTATGGTTAAACTCGAATAATAAAAATCATTAAAAATTACAGTAGGACAAACGAACACAAATAGTTAAAATTGTTTTACGACGATTACAACTTATTGATTTTTTTGGTTAAGATTTAAAAAATAACGATAATTTTCCGTCCCTGTTTTTAAGTCGTCTAACCTTTTGATAAGCAATAAGTAGCAGACAAATTTTCCCCTGTTTATGCCTTAACGAAATAAAAGTGAACGAGCAGTTCGTCACGTAAAAATGCGTATTTTGGATTATATTTTTTTTTCTGAAAGTAATAAGTCCATAAATTACTAAATAAACACTCAGCTCAGCCTCCGATTTAGGGCACTTCATTACAAAAATTTTAACAAAAAAAAACCCCTATTTCGAAACATTTTAGTTTCCTCATCTTCGAACCACCACTGTATGTTAATTTCCCATTAAACGCAAAAAGGTAGGTATGTAGGTGTGTACAACACTCTGCTACAATATCAAATATTCATACATATACATACATATAGTATAGTGCACACACATACATATTTCATCCTCTGAAGGCCTACCAGCTGAGCCAGATGGGCGGACTAGAAAGATGGGTCGCTTTCCAGATATGCCCACCAGTTCATGGCAACGTGGGCATTTATAGATGCATATGTGTATGTATGTACAGTGGCGGAAAAATGATCTATGGTGTTTCGTTTTTAATATTTACAATGTTTTTCTAGCTAAAATGTTTTTGATATTTTTTTATGAAATTATGGTTCAAGCTTTAACAAAAGCTATATAAATCACACTTTCAAACTTTATACAGAATTTAGAAAAATTCCACAAATTTTTATCTAAATTTCGAGCTTTTTAAATTTAGCTTTTGAGTATGCATTAAGGCTTATAAAATTTTAGTAAAGTGAGTGCAAGTTTTGAGCGGCTAAAAAATCGCATTAATTTTTAATATTTTTTGCGGTATATAAATAGCGAAATTTAGGAAAACTGGCATTGACTTTTTTATTTTTTTTTTCATGTTTATATGGAAAAAAGTGCAAAACGCCGTCAACAACAAAAAAAAAAAAAAATATATTATGAAAGATCGAAACGATCTTTTACCCGCTCAAACCTTCCACTTACTTTACTACAATTTTATAAGCCCAAAAATTTCTAAAAATTCTGGCTAAATAGCTCGAAATTTAGATAAAAATTTGTGGAACTTTTCGTAAGTTCTGATAAAAGTTTCAAAATGTGATTTATATAGTGTTTGTTAAAGCATAAACCATATTTTTATAAAAAAATATAGAAAAAAATTTTGGCTTTAAAAACATTGTAAATATCAAAAACGAAACACCTTTAATCAATTTTTTTCCCGCCACTGTACGTGTATCCCTCCCGGCTGCTATTTATGCGTAATCTTCGACAAATGACTGCCTATGCCGGTACTGGGTTAGTGCAACAAAAATATGTAGAGACAAAAGGCAAAACACAAAAAATCAACCAGACCCAAGAAACGACATAGAGTGTCAGCAGACATGAAAGCAGAAGAAGTGTCAACGAGAGTCAAGGAACACATANTTGTTCATTAATGTCTTAATATATGAATTTATTTGACTGAAGGCACATCGGCTCGCTCGAACAGCTGGTTATGGAGATGGCGTTGTACGAAAAAGTACTTGAACCGATTTGCCAGAGAGCCAAAGTAGGATGTGTGTACATATAGGCATGTGAATTTGTACATTTATAGAAGAGTGAGTGCATCTGTAAAGGAATTTATTTACATTAATACATATGTGTACATTAGGATGGCGAACCATCTGTCTGAAGAAAAAAACTAACTGTCATTCCAAGTACTCGTCAGATATGGAAGGATCACTTCTTGACGCTTTTGAATTGACAAAACCAGCAGCAGAGTATTTGTTGACTAACGTATAAGTATGGATGTCTCTTTACTAGCCCAAGGCGAGATGAGAGTAGCAAAAAAAATTAAGCTCAGTAGCAACAAATTGCCTGAAGCCGATGGATTCGCGGCTAAGCTCTTCCATGCGGTCGGGTTAAGCTGGCTGGTTGTTAAGCCCTAGCGGCATCAGATGTTGGTCGAACCTTAAGTAGACTTATAATATATGTAATATACTTAGATAAGTTTTGGATCCAACTCTCGAAACAGACGAGACTCCAGGAGAAATTTATGAATTCTGAACAAATTTGATTTTTTTCCAACCAACCCACTGTGCGGCCGAAATCCAAAAGTGCGGCCAATATTGCAAAAAAAAAAGTTTCTAGATAGAGCTTCTTCATCATTAAGTTGGCTCAATGGATCCTCTAAGAATGGAAAACCGTTCACGGTCACGGCCTGTACCACGATCTTCAAAAGTGACACAACTCAAAATTTGGCATTTTTGAAAATATGCACTTAAAATGTACGCAGAGCTTTTATTTACCTTTAAGCAAAAGCTGGAGCACATTTTTGTTGTATTTTTTTTAAAAACACTAAGGTAAAGTCTCCCTTGCCCATATGCTTAGCATGTGTTTAGCATAGGTTATCGCATTTTCTGACGAACGTATCATTTTGAGTTGTGTCACTTCTGAATATCGTATGCGATATGTAATTATATAAATATGGACTAGTGGATACAAGTCTAAAATAACTGACGATAAGTATTCGTCATAGATTCTCAATGGTATAGCATGGTGACGGGAAATATTAATTGGCGGTGTAACACATACGGCTAGCGACAGCCACACCTATTCACCTGCCAATTGTTTGCCTTTTTCGGATGGAGCGTGAGGCAATCTAATGTACATCCATCCGTAAATGCCTACATACGTATGTTAAAATTAATTTACATTTTTTTGGATTGCTTTGAATTCCTTTATACGTACTATTGGTTTATATATAAGTGCAAGAGTTCGAGTATATCTACATATGTACATATGTACATACTTAGTACTTGCTTATTTATGAAGAAAATAGCTTACCTTGTGAGCGTCGCGAGGAGAATGGCTGCATGTCCGTGAACGATGATGAATCACCCGTTCCAATGCTGTTCAAAAGAATCAACATATTCCATGATTTACCATTTGCGCGTGGCGAGTGTGTGTGTGTGTGTGTGTGCAATTGGTTATTTAAGTGCGACAAAAAAGGAATCCCATAATTTGAACGATGTTGCGGATGGCAATGAACGCCATGAAGTGTCGAGCCAAGTGAGTTATGCGCAAAATATGAAGTATGAAAATAAGAAAGAATTCCAATTGAATTTAACAACACAGAACAGACACTGAATACTCATACATAGATGAATGTATGTATGTATGTATATAAATATGCACAGCAATTGCTTAAAAAGGCCAACCACAAACCAAGCAAAGTTATGGCACGCAATTTGAACTCACCGAAAACTATGACGCCCACGTGGACTAGAAATGAACTCGGCGGAGAGTTTCTCCTCGGAACTTGCGTGCAGCGGCAAGGCGTTGGCGTTGAACCAGAACCACCACCCACACTACTACTTCCTCCGCTTCGCGCTTCCACACCCGCGCTGCTACGCTTGCTCGCAACACTACTCCCACCGCTACCACCCGTATTCGTATTATTCATGGCCGCCAGTCCTGCTGCTTCACGCGCAGCGCTCCGTTGTGCACGCAACTTACCGACCCCGCCAATGGCGATTGTGTCGCTGACGTTGACTGTGACTGTGACTGTGACTGTGACTGCGGCTGCGAGCCGGCGACGATTTGTTGCGTTTGTGTACTGTTCTCCTTGCGATCGCTCGGATCCGTATTCTGTTTGAGCGTTTGCAATTTCGCCAGCGGTATGATATCACACTTGCTCGGCCGATGCCAGACGGTCTTCTGCGTTGCCGCATTGTAGTAGTAGAAGCGTTGCGTATTCGTATCGAATAATTCCCACCACTGTGATGAGTCGGTGCGCTTAATTGGCACATCCTGCGGGGCGAAGCAACAAAAAAAAACAACAACAAAATATATACATACTTAGTAGTGCAAAATTTAAACAAATTTGAAATGAGTACATAGACAAAAATGCTCGTAAAAAATGCAACAACAATGCCTAAACTATGCGTATGTAGTATTTGTGTCAACACATCATGTTTGTATGTTTGTATGTTTGCTTGTATGTAATCCTAAATAATAAAACTTATACATTGTTATTAAAAAGCTTAGCTAACTACATGTATGTACATACATACACTCGTGGCCAGGCAAACTTTACCATCACTTTTTTAAATTTGGTAGAATTTTGTAAATTAATAAAAAAATATATACATATTTTGCTTAAAAATATACTACAAACCGCAACAAAAGCCATATAAATAAAAGTTCCAAACTTTGTACAAAATTAAAAAAAAAAAAAATCATAAAATGTTCATCAAAATATCAAACTTTTTAATAGAAATGTTTAGGAAAGTGCAAGTTTGAAGTAGCTCAAAGTTCTAGTTTATTTTTGAAAATTGTTTTTCCACAGAATGTTGCGTATTTTTCCCCATATAAAAAATATCATTACATGAAAAAAAAACTACAAAAGACAGTCCGCACAGAACTGCATACCAGAAATTTTCCTAAACATGTTTATTAAAAAGTTTGAAATTTTGATGAAAATTTGATAATTTTTTTTTTAATTATGTACAAAGTTTGAACCTTTTATTTATATACATTGTTTTTGTTGCGGATAACTACATTTTTAAACATAATAAAAAAAATGTTTATTATCTAATTTACAAAATTTTTCCCAAATTAAAAAATAGCGGTGGTAAGGTTTGCGTGGCCACGAGTGTAGTATGTATTATGTGCGCCGCTTGTGTCGCTCTGTGTTGAGTTACCTCGAGTCAAGTTGAGTCGGTCAAGTGATAGTCAGCGGGTGGGCAGAATTTTGTGTGTGGGCGTACTTGCGATGCTGGTATGGATTAGCGGAAAACAATGAAATGCAAGCGGCCCGAAATATAAAATCATCTTCACTTAAAAGCGCACAAGGGAAGGAAGTTAAAACTAGCTGCTAATGTAGTTAAATAATTGCAAGTGGCTGGTAACGCTATAATTTGTGATACATACCCACATACATTCATATAAATATATATATATATGAATGTATGCATGCGAGTTTAAAACAACACTGAGCGATTCCATACGACAATCGTTTTAAGAAATCTTTTGACTTCTTATTTGTTTTTTTTTTTTATACCCGAGCGCAATTGTGCACAAGGGTATATTAATTTTGTTGACATAACGGTTGTTTGTAACAGCCAAAACGAATCGAGATAGATATAGACAAATGTATACATAAATGATCAGGATGAAAAAAGAAATTGATTAAGCCATGTCTGTCTGTCTGTCCGTCTGTCCGTCTGTCCGTCCGTCCGTGTACACGATACCTCGAGCAAAAATTGAGATATCTCAACGAAATTTGGTATGTAGGTTTCTGTTAATCCAAGGTAGGTTGGTATTGAAAATGGGCGAAATCGGACTTTAACCACGCCCACTTCCCATATAACGGTAATTTTCAGAAATACGAAAACTGCGATATTTTAGTAACTACTGGAGATTATTCACTCAAAATTGATATTTATAATAAGTTTTAGACGAAAAATAAGAATATTATAAATTTTTGGAAAATGGGCGTAGCCACGCCCACTTATGGTTACATGTGTATATCTTGGTAACCGCTGCACCAATTTCTTCCAAACTTGGCACAGTTGTTGGCCTTGGTACAGCATAAAAAACCGCCGAAACTTTTTAAAATCGGACAATAACCACGCCCACATCCCATATAACGGTAATTTAGAGAAATACAAAATCTTCGATAAATCAGTAAATATTGAAGCTAATTTATTCAAAATTGATGCTTGCAACAATTCTTTACCAAGAAATACGTTTATGGTAAAATTTTGGAAAATGGGCGTGGCACCGCCCACTTATGATCACATATAAGTATATCGGTAACCGTTCTACCAATTTGTACCAAACTCGGTGTGGTTATTGTGCTTGCCACATATAAGCAAAACGTTGAAAATTATTGAAATCGGACTAAAATAACGGCCGCTTCTCATATAACGGTAAATTTCAGAAATGCTTGAAACTTCAATATTTCGAAATTTAAGGACGCTAATTTACTTAAAATGTATACACCCCGGCTTATCATGTAGCGGTAGCTTTCGGAAAGGTGGAAAAACGCCGGGTATTTAATGTTCGGCTTCGCCCGAACTTAGACTTTCTTACTTGTTTTTTGCTACTTAAATAGTAGGGACCATTGTAAATACGATTGAAACACTGAACGCACCCATTCCAATAGAATATTTGAACATACCACACATTACCACTTGGCTTATGAAATATAACCTGTAAAGCATTAGTCTATCTAATATAATTATTTTTTTTAGAAGAAAAGTGGTATCTCAGAAGTGGTTTAGATCCGATCATTGGATCATAAAGAAATTAACGGTACTCTTATCTTATGTATATCCTTATATATACTTGTATGTACATAACGTACAATTGATAATGAATGTAACTCAAGCAAATATTTCTATGAATATAAGAACATTTATCTAAGAATGGATTCGAAATATGCCTTCTAACGTTAACTAAACCATAACGTTAGCAGATAAATGTGTCACTGGAAATCGTAAACGTGAATTGTTGGTGATAAAGTTGGACCGAAATGTTTCAATAAAAAAAATCATTTTGGGCGGCGCAATGTTCCCGGGGCTGCTAGTTTAGATATAAGATAAGGATAAGGCCTTTTTATACATTAAGATTAACATAGGATTAAATGTCATAGTGGGGTGGCTAAAAAAAAAATATTGACCCTATTTAAATCTTCAATCCGATTTTTCTTGAATCCGATCAATCTATTTTGCAATGTTCGATAATTCAATAAAATTGAACACATTCATTCGACAATATTGAACAATGACACATACNTTTTTTTTTTTTACTTGCAATGTTCGATAATTCAATAAAATTTAACACATTCATGCGACAATATTGAAAAATTACACATATTTTCCACAATAGTTTTAATGCCTTTGGTAATCGGACCAGATTGAGCAGATTTTAATTGATTCGGATTAACGAGGTTTTACTGTACATAGATTCACACTTTCTCAACTCCGATCCGGCTGGTTCAGTAGGCTGAACTCATAAATAAATAGTCAAATTATACTCGGTAACATCAGACATCTATGCAGCAAACGAGAACGGGCCGCACAACATACACACAGTATGGGCCATATCTATATCTCCCCCATTTCAAAGTGATATTGTTTGCCACTCATGTTTAATTATTTATTTTTAAGATTTTTAAATTAAAATACAATTCAGTCTCTATCAAACCCATATAAACTCAAGTTTAAAACTTTGTAAGTGTTAGAATTTTTTTGAGTACACAGATTTATAGCCCATTAAATTCTAGTCCGATAATGTGAATTAATTTATTTTTCGCATTTGATTTGGGGTGCTATTGTATTGGCCAATACTGTAAAATTACAGTTTTTTTTTATATTCGAAACAAAAATCCAGTCGACGTTCAAGCAGAAGGTGCAGAAGGAAAATTTCCCAGTGATGATTTGTAGATACGAATTTGTTCTCAATATTTTTAATATTTTTTTAAAAAGTCAGTCTGAAGAAAATTTTCCGGAATAAATCTATTGAAAACCATCAGCCCTATCATGAGCTTCATTTTTCCCAAACCGGTTTACTTTTCACTTTTGGTTTCCATGTATTTACTATGGGCGGAATACGCATTTTTTTCGGGCGGAACTCAGGCTTAGGCACTACTTATATCTTTTAAAGTTGCAGGCATCAAGTGTGTGCCTTTTAATTTAAAATAAAAATCTCTTAAATTATTTTCATTGACCAAAAATCATCACTACTTTTGAAATGCCCCATTTTAATAAAAAAAAAAAGCTACTGTTGTTGTTGTTCTCAGATGTAATATGAACTGTTGCAATGTGCCCTTCAGCTCTCTTCAAACGTTTTATAAAGTCAGCACAGAACCCCCACAAAGTCGGCAGTTCATATAACAGGGGGAATTACATACACACACAAATGCGCATATGTATGAATGTAGCATAAATATATGGAGCAGTTTATATACATACATATGTATGTAGTACATACTTAGCTGGAACGTGGCCGCTGCAGCTGGTGGTTGGTTGCTTAAATTGTTGTTGTTGCGATTGCTTTTATATTATTGTTTTCACATTTCAAGCATATGTTTGTAACATTTTCATTTTATTGCTGCCCCCATAGGCTTGCTTTCAATCTTGCTTTAATATTTGGTATGTACATACATTAGACCGGATCACTTTGAAGCAAACAAAAAAATGTTCATCGTACACCCCTGAGTCTAAAGTATTTTTGCAAGCCAATTTATTTATTGTTCTTTTGGCCGAACCCAGGGTCCGCCTTTTTTACATTTTTCCGTTACACTGTAATAATCAAGTTCCTTCACAAAAGTTTAATGTTTTTTGGCGAGCTTTAATTTACTGATATTAAGGAATAAGAACTAAGATCAATGAACTTCAGAATAAAAAATTTGTCTTCTCGAGACAAGTCTATCGATATATCATATTTTAGGATTCGGCTGTAAATCCCGAAGATATGATGAAAAATGTAAACTGGCGACTGGCTACGTTCAGCAAAAACAAAAATCTTTTGAAATTGCCTTGCCAAAACTTTTTTCTTGTATGGACTGATGTACAATGAAAGGTGGTTCATAAGAAGTAAATTCGGAATTTTAATGCTCCCTGCCCCCTAGGATTGTTCTATACCGAGAAAGTTGAAATTAAAATTTAAAAAAGTGTTTAATGCATTTTATATGCAAAAAAATAATACTTAGAGTTATTGAAAATCGATGTTTTTGGATCGGAAAACCCTGTTTCTATCAGGACACATCAAACAGTAGGTATTACCCAATTGTTTATTTAAGCATTTTTCAATATTAACTATTATTTATAGATTCCCAAAAACCCTAAAAATTCAATGAAGCGATCTCTAAAAAAAAAATTTATTTCGAATTAAAAAAAAAACAGCGGTATATTTTTTTCGGACTTTACTTTTTTACATGCATTTTTGGGTTACCCTAATGTGCATACATACTTATGTATGTTACAATGTGAAGTTGGTATTATTATTTTTTTTTTATGAACTTTCGCCGTTTACACATTACAATGTTTAATTTTTATTTATTTTTTTTTGTTGTTATTATTTCTTATTGTTGTTTCTGTTGTCTATCATCTTTCTTTCCTTGTCTATTACCGCCTGCCGCTCATATGACCTTGAACTCTTGCGTGCATCTCGGCAGCTCAATGACGTCGCCGAGCCGATGAGGCCTAAACGAGCGACATCTGTATGCAGCAAATAACGGAGAGGATGGATATGACAGCCTCCCCAACAAAGAAACAAAAAACGCAAAAAATAAATAAAGCTACAGTAGTCAAATAAAATTGTTGAAGTAGCAGCAACAAGGATATATGTATGTATGTACATAAGTCACGTGGCCACTGTCGGTACAAATCTAGAAAATACACAACGCTTTCGCAAAACCAAAACAAGAAGGAAATTGTTAAAAAAAAAAAAAACTTAAACACGCTGTTATTTTCAATATGCTTCTAGCTGCAAAGCGAGACCACTTGGCTTCCTTTTCGCCACCTCCCACCCGCCTCTATGCCCTTTTGCATCCGCCGACCCGCCCCATCCATTCAAAACCCACAGCCATGTGATTACAATTTCACCAGCTGGCCGACTGCATGAGTCGCATGCACCCTGTGGTAATGTGGTGATGCGTCCTTCAATTCGCTAAGCGCTAAGCAGCGGAAGTCAGCAAAGATGCAATAAAAAAAACGTTGCTGCTGCGTTCGCTTTTAAGTAAGCAAGAGCAAAGGGCCCCATAAGCGAATGGGATGCAACGCGCCTACAACACAGATTTATAAGTATGATGGATGTGTGCTTATGTAGTGTAGTGAGTGCTTTAAGTGGCGCAAGGCTCTTCATTACCAAATATTGCGAGTAGCACAATGTTGAAGAAGCGAAAAAAACGCACTGTTTTGCATAAAATCCTTTTTGTATAAAGAAATGCTGATGCGCGTGATGGTGCTTCTCGACAACAAGCAGTCACTCGTATATACTACATATGTACGTATACGTACGTGCATACTTAACGAAAAAAATGCCTTAAAAGCTCAAAGCACTCAAATGGTTGCCAGCATTGTGGGATGCACATACATACATATTACAAGGAACGCTTTGTCAACTGCGAGTGGGCGAGTGCTATATATTTTTGAATCGAATGTTTTATGGTTTGACCTTCAAACTATTGCNAACGCGCCTACAACACAGATTTATAAGTATGATGGATGTGTGCTTATGTATTAGTGAGTGCTTTAAGTGGCGCAAGGCTCTTCATTACCAAATATTGCGAGTAGCACAATGTTGAAGAAGCGAAAAAACGCACTGTTTTGCATAAAATCCTTTTTGTATAAAGAAATGCTGATGCGCGTGATGGTGCTTCTCGACAACAAGCAGTCACTCGTATACACTACATATGTACGTATACGTACGTGCATACTTAACGAAAAAAATGCCTTAAAAGCTTTGCACTCAAATGGTTGCCAGCATTGTGTGATATACATATTACAAGGAACGCTTTGTCAACTGCGAGTGGGCGAGTGCTATATATTTTTTAATCGAATGTTTTATGGTTTGACCTTCAAACTATTGTACTTAGATAAGTATTGGCCAAATAAGGGGGAATATGGAAGAATTGTATGAACTAAGATTTAAGGCTTTTTAGTGCTGGTTTACTTTTTATTTTTTAGAAATTTTTAAGATACCTAGTTGGCAGTGAAGGTATTCAAATCTTTCAGGTTATTAGGTTACCTGGTTAAAAATTATTATTCTCCCGCATAACCAGTCAGGTTTTTTTTTTTTTAAACCCCTATACCAAGTAAGTATGTAAGTAAGTAATTACAGAAAATATTTATTGACACTCTATTCGGCGATGAACTCTCTTCTCATTCGATTTTCCCGAATTTCTTAGCCATTCTTATAGCTCAGTTATGCATACTTGCTGCTGCATGAGATTANGGTATTCAAATCTTTCAGGTTATTAGGTTACCTGGTTAAAAATTATTATTCTCCCGCATAACCAGTCAGGTTTTTTTTTTTTTTAAACCCCTATACCAAGTAAGTATGTAAGTAAGTAGTTACAGAAAATATAATTTTTTGAGACTCTATTCGGTGATGAACTCTCTTCTCATTCGATTTTCCCGAATTTCTTAGCCATTCTTATAGCTCAGTTATGCATACTTGCTGCTGCATGAGATTTGTCACACAAGGAATCTGTTAAATGAGCTTTGCGTGTAAGCGGTTACCCAACGCACAACATTACATTTGTAAGTAGATGTCTGCTGGTTTTTGATTTCTACGTAAAAATGGCATAGCAGTGCAAATAGTGCAAAGTATGCATAACTGAGCTATTAATGATAGTAGATCTAGTTCCATCTTTGAAAGAGACAATACTTAGGCGTTAAATTCTGCGGCTCTTTCAATATGTATACACCTGCGTTCAACTAATTAGCACCGAAGTTCAAAATCATATTGTTTGAAACTTATGTTTATTTATTTATTTTTAATAATTTTCATTCAACATTTAATTCGATCTATAACAGAAACCACATAAATAGAAGTTTCAAAGCTTTCACAAATTAATGAAAAAAATTAGTCAAACTTCAAAAAATTGTCATAAAAAATTTCCAAAATTTTAATCAGAATATTTAGAAAATGTTTGGGTATGCAGTTTTGTAGCCAATTCAATTTTAGTCCAATAAAGTGCAAGTTTCATGTCGCGAAAAATTACCGTTGATTTTTTTTAACTTTTTTGTGCAGGGTGTTTGGATTTTTTTTTTCATATAAAAATAGATTTTTTTCATGCGTTGCTAAATATTCAGATTAAAAATTTGGAAATTTTGATGACCATTTTTTGAAGCTTGATATTTTTTTTTTTTATTTAAAACTTGTATGTATGTGTTTTCTGGTATATGTAGATTGAATTAAATGAAAATTATTAAAAATAAATAAATAAACATAAGTTGCAAATAATGTAATTTCAAATTTCGGTGCTAATTAGTTGAACGCAGCTGTATGTAGATCTACTAGCCTATGCCCTTAGCACCACCCACACGCAGTTCGCTTTAACGTTATGATTTTAAATGTAACAAAAAACAATGTGTCAAACAAAATTCGACTACTTAAATTGGCATTTCTTTGTATAAAAAAAAAAACTTTAATTTCGTAGTTGGTTTTTTGTATTAACAACGGGTATGTACATATATAAGGTGTAAATATTGTATGGAATGGCCCATACATAAGTAAATACTCTATTTTCCCATTTCACAAATCTACATCTATAAGGTCGAACTAATCTGACTATTGCGAAATAGCGTGCCTATGTGACCTTCAACTTAACGGTACAATCAATAAGGGCATGAAGATTCTCTATCCCTTTTACTTTTCTCGGTTCTCTCGTACTTCTCAAGCGTAATTCATGTGCCCCGCTGCTGTATGTAAGCAGCAATTATATTGTCTATTGTCTATCCACTTCGTTATCACATCAAGCGATAACGTACAGACATACAACATACATACACACATACATATATGTACATATATGTACAATAATTAAACAATAAAGCAATTAAGCACTATTAATAAAAATTGAAAGTCTTAAACGATCGGCGAATGATGGGGCAGTGGAAGGTGATTTCAACTTTCGCTTTCAAGCTAATTTTACGAGTATGTATTTACTACACATATTTATAAACTATACATATTTTATTTTTATTTAGTTTTTTTAATATGTACTATGTATGTTTATGTTTTTATGTGCGTTCAAGTGTTCGCTTACAACATTGCACTACTATAATTACCGTTAAGTTGCAAGCATGTAGTTGGTTTATTACATATATTTACATATGTACATATATGAATATATATAGTGGCTGATAATGCTCCAAGCGTTAGAGGTAACCCAGCAGGGAAACCGCTAACTAGTGAATCAAATTTCTAGTTCCGTACTAACTAGACCGTAACTAGATCCCCACCAGCCCAAAATCAGCGAAATGTGATACTTCTAAAAAAAAACTATTTTATTTCACTTTTTCCTTAAGAAATCTACATACATAGTAGGGCTCGTAAAATTATCCGACTATTCGACTAATCGGTTAACCGGTATATCTAAGGTGACGAATTTAGAACTAGTTCGGAACTATCGAAAAAGGGATGCTGTGGGGGCTCGTTTACTTTACATAGAGATATGTGTTTGGCCGCTTTTTCGTTCAAATAAGCTTCCGTTATGCACTTTGCAGATGCTTTTTCATAGCTTGGTAATACAAAACAAAAAATTTGTGTTAACATTTTAACATCTTGGGATCTTCTGGAATCTAACCAATAATAGCCAGCGCCTCTGCAAACTCAGCTACAGCCGAAGGTATGTAAATGTACAGTTCTTGCGCAATCATTCAAACAAATTTAATTTCAAATTGAAAACACATTTCTTTGAAAACAATTTAAAATCGCACAAACGGAAGAACCAAAAGGTTTGAAAAATCATGAAACTTTCGTCTGTCGATTTTAGAACTGGTTCGAAACTATAGAAAAACGGATGCAGCGGGGGCAATTGACACTTCCTGAGACATCGCCATGTTAAATTCGCCAGTTGTTTGCTAGCAAAAGACATTTATTGCGAACCAGTACTAGATCTAAATGTACCAGAAGCGCACCAGTTCAGAACTACTAGAGATTTTCCCCACAGGGAATTTACATACATACATACATATGTAAATATGTACGTACGAATACCACAAAACTGAATGTAGTGAATGTTTAATTTGAAACATTTTAATTAGCTCAAAGTGTGTGCAAGCGGGCAAATCAACAAAGCCGCATTGCTAAGCTACTTCATTTTTGTGCAATGCACTACTCTTCTTCTTTGCTCGTTGATTTGATTTTGTTGAGCAAAATAAACTCAATGTTGCTGTGGTTGCGGCTGGACGGTTGGTTGAACATTGTGACTAACAAACAGCCTGGCTAGTTGGGTCATACATATATACATACATATGTATGTATGATGATTGCCTGAGTAGGCTGCTGCTGGTGTTGAATTAATTGAAATCTATCATCGCCTTCGGTATTGCTAGGGCCAGGCAATAATTGCTTCGGTTTTAGTCACAGCTACAGCCACAGCCGCAGCCACAGCCGCAACGCCGCAGCCACAGTCACAGCCCACCATAGCACAGAGTACCAAAAAACAGCTCAGTCATTTTGATGCAAAAAAAAAGGAATTTACAATGTGGTTACGGCGGTGGCGGTGGCAGTGACGGTGACGGTATGGTTGCCTTCGCTTGCGTTCGCGTGGCGTGCAATGCCTGCCGCACCGCGCTGAATTGGGTTGTATTGGGTTGAGCAGGCGTCCACCAGACAGGCACATGCCGCGCATTTTATTGTTTTGTGCCACAAATACATGCGTTTTAACATAAAATATAATGTACATGTAATACATATATATTCATATACTTGCATACATATGTATGTATGTATACGTACTTAGACCAGAAAACACTAGCCTCTGAGAAAAATAACTAGGATGCAGGACGCTCTTGCATCAAGCAAAGCGAACCCATGGCGAAAGAAGGCAAATCCTCTCATGTGATGACAAATAATTTTCGACCATGTATTCTTCCTTCTGACACCCTTAGGAAGGCTTCCTCCACTCAGATCAAGCCTTTCGAAATCATGCTCATTCTCTTCGCGGTAACTGCAGAAAAGTTGCAATGCAATCAGACAAAATGCTCAGGAAAAAGGAAGGGACACAAGATTTGGTGACTAAAAAATACTATATATCTATTCTGCTATATTTAAGTATTCACACTGCACTACACCGATCTCTGATTTGTTTTTTTTTTTTTTCATACAGATTCTTGTGAGGAATACAGTTTTGGAAGCTTGCTATACCTCTACTGCCATATTGTAAAGCTGAAGCAAATCGAATGTAGGCATATTCTAATCGGCAAGTGCATCTCAAGAGTGATCTGGATTCAACGACACAGAGATATACGCACGTATGTATATCATCTTNGTAAGCGCCTCTTTCATCGATATTTTTTACCTCTAAACCTATTTACTGGTCCTTGGTAAATGGCTTCGAAGTAAGCGCTGTAATGAATAGTCCAAAACGGTAACTTGTATTCCTTTGAGAATATTACAAAGTAGTTTGGACTGCATTTACATTGGCTTACCTCGTCTCGGTCCAGTTATAGATTCCTCTTAATCGCTCCTCAACTAAAGCGTTCGTCGAGTTGAGACATTATGACGGCTAGTCCATTTACATACATACATTGACTTCGAGAGGTGACGTATTTTGATTAAATAAAAATCCTAACGTGATGGAGCAAAACGGACTGCAGGTTCGTGTTCAGCGCAACAAAATTCAAGAGGGAAGGATTTTTTGATTCCCGAACCCCGGCAATTCTTTTGTGTTGCTGTGAAGTCAACCGC